ACTGTATGCTGATGCCGTAAAAGTAAAGTAAAGCTATCCCTGTACCAGGCCATGAAGGCCCATAGGGTTGTGAGACGTTGAGGGTCCCACATTATCTAGACATTCGGCTCAGAGATGACAGTAAGGTTGTCAGCCTTATGCACTGGCCGTGCTTTACTCCCCAGGAAAAGCCATAGTGCGGCTGGAAGGATGAGGTCAGTTGAAAAGAATCCAATGACCTCATCAGGACTTGAACCCGCTACCTTCCGGTTTGTAGCATAGCCCCTCAGGGGCAGTAAATTCACTGGCTGCTTTACCATCTTCCTACACTGAGTTAATTTGAATTTTAGGTGAAATTAATTCAGAGGCCAGACTTTGAAACTGGGCCCAGAAGATTCCTAGTTGTAAATATGATCCAGCAAGTGGAAAATGATGGGTAGGTGATTAGAGTTCAGAAAGTCAGAGGCACTAACTTCTGACAGCCGGACATTCATATGCACAGCAGTATCAAGCACGTTACCATTTCCTGCTGCAGAGTAATGAATGGGACGTTGTGGTACTGAAATTTCAAACTCATTTATATGTAGTAAATTCAGTAGTTTTGCTTCTGAAGAGTTAGAAAATGTGCTATTCAATAGTGGATGTTTAGCATTCAGATCTGCTACCAGTAACAACTTACATCTAAAGCTTAGGAGCACCATGATATCTGGATCATTCCAGGCATGGCCTGATGACTTATAGACTGCTGCAAATAGACTTTTCCTATTACCAGGCAGTATGCAAACTTGTATGGCTTTTATTGAAGCAAGCAGAGGTAGGTCTACATGGTTGTCAAGAATGCCTTTTCTCACTATAACAGCAGTTCCTCCTTTTCTTCCCGGGAAGCAGTCTGTCCAATGAAAGTGATAATTTTGATATAAAAAAGCTCTTTGAAGCTTTAGATGAGTCTGAACTAGCATGGCCACATCTATATGTAAGCCTCTCTTACTATACAGTTACTGTTATTTTGAATTGCTGTCTGAACTTGGAAGTGACTTACTGTAATGCGTATAAGTTCTGTCATGTTTCTGTTCTTATAAAACATTCAGAAATCATTTTTGTGTTCTCATTTACAGTGCTGAATTTATGGTGAAGCACACATTTGAACAACAGGTTTTTTGTATGATTGTTACCTGGAAAATTTTTTATATACCTTATGTTTAAGGTTTTGCCTTAAGAAAGCTGGTGTTGAGTTCAAATGACTTCGTTGATTTTTTAATTGATGAAAAATTGGTTTCAACTGGATCTACTTTAGAGAAGAGAGATACACTAGACAAGAGCGCCGACTCTTGGAAATCTTGATGAAGTTGGAGCCGGATTAGAACACTTGGCTGGCAGATGTCTGATATGACTAACTCTGCAGGCACAGGTTTAAACAAAAACAGGATGTAGAGTGACTGAAAATGTTACATATATTGCTGTCTAAAATTGGACAGATTCAAGCAATTGAAGAAAATGATTATGGCTGAAAAACATGGTTTTTTTAACTTTTTTTATAGACAGTGCTTTTGACCCAAAATTTACATTTTTACTTATGATGCTTTTTTCCATTTGAGAGGTTATATCAGTATTCAGAACTAAAGGCAATGCAGCCATATTAATCCAAGACTTTTTTTATGTACATCTTCATTATTCATTACCATCACTGCTATGTAATATTATGACCCATATGTTTTTGCTATGTAACATTAGGACTCATGTTTTGAACAAACTGTTAATTGAGAATAGTATGTCATTGACATTCTTTGGCCCTTCTTTGAGAGCATTATGACAGAAGAAAGACATATGGTTATTGTATGTGAGTTGGTGCTGCAGCGTACATTGCCAGTTATTCCGTTAATGTTTCACATTGGGCGTTTGAAGATGGACTGATAATGTCTCCAGACTTAAATTCATGTGATTTTTATTTTTGAGGGAACTTAAGAAACAAAGTATGTTCGAACAATCCTCACATATTGATTGAACGTAAGCATAACATTTGTGAAACATTTACATCCATTGAGGTCAGTAAAGTGAACCTAGTGTCTAACAGTCTTCTCCAGAAATTTGCACTTTGTCTAAGAGCAGAAGGGAGACATTATGAGCATCTACTGTGATGGTTAGTTCTTCTAAACATTTTAATTATTTTAAGAAACACATTCCATATTTATAATATGGCATATTAGGCAAGACTCTAGGCCTGGTTCCCTGGCAGGCAGCATCTAAGATTCTATCTAACAGGTCAATGGTAGGAGAATCAGATGATTCTGCTCTTCTAAGAAGACGTGTAATTAATTTTATTTAATTTGCTGTTATGACAGTATTACTATAGATCAACCTGTTGTTAGCTGCATTGGCTCATCCATGTTTGGACTGGCAAAATATACTTGTCCATGCCTGATGTGCCCCATATTTGGGCAGTCAAAGCACCATATCATGAATTCTGCAGCCTGAAATTTGAGTCACATCAGTTTTCAAGACATTAACATGTTGGTGAATGTTGACATGGCACTACTGCTTAAGACACATTCCTGCTACTCTTACGGCGCTTCAGTGAACAGACCTTGTCTCTCATCAGGCATGTTCTCACCAAAACTTATTTCCTTTACAACGTCTCATTCTACAACCAAAGAAATGGTGTAACCATGGGATTGCCCCTTGGCGCTGTATTAGCCAGCTACCACATGGAGTTCTTTGAACAGCAAGCCATAAGATGGCACTTGAGTCATTTGGTATATGGAAATGATGAGGTTCAGGGTTTCCTCTAACATCTCAACAGTATCCACACCAACATAAAGTTTGCTGTGGAAGTGGAACAACACAAGACAGTCTTTCCTGGATGTCCTGGTAAACAAGATCAGATGGCTGACTGGGACATGCTATATGTAAGAAACTGACACATACAAACTTCTGTCTTTGCGTGAGGTGTGAACACCAGCCTTCATAGAAATGTGTTGTTCTGAATACTCTCATCCAACAGGCCAAGACCATATATGAAAGGATAGCCTGGATATGAAATCAGCCACACATTTAGGTGTAATCAATACAGCACCCTTGAAATAATGCATCTGGTTGCCACAAAACAAAGGCTTCAAACTCAGAAATAGGAACTGGCAGGCATTGCCAAGTTACTATATCAACAAGTTGTCACCAGCAAAAAGTAAGGCAATTAACAAAGCTGTGAAGGAGAACATCCAGATGATCAGAACTATAAAGTACAAGATATGCATAAAGGTTGTTGGATACATTATGTCGAGTGTGAATGCAGGAAAGTATGTTGTAGCAACAATAAGTATGGACCCATTGCTGGGCAATGACCTGGAGATAATAAAATAAACATGAGTAACACCTTCACAAACAAACATGTTCTCACAGAAATTATTGAACTACAACAGTGAGGAGCAGTGTTTTCTACATGGTCCATGCTGAGGTATTATAAGCAGGACAAGTTGCGACCTGCAGTTAGTGAAGGGAAGAGTAGAAGGTTGGTGTGAGATGGCTGCCAGCCTGAAAGTTAGACGTTTGGAACAATGAGTCAGTTGTGGGGTATTCTTCAGCTGGTAACGACATTAGCAGAGGACATTGTTAGAATCTGTTACCAAGAAACATCTAATGAAGACATAGGAGACTTTATGTGTGCTGCAGTTACAGTGATCCGTAGAGTGTGTGAATTAGCTGTATCACTATAGTTACTTGCAGTTATGATCTGTAAGTGGTCAGTAAATCCAATTATGAATCCAAACCCCATCAGTATCCACTTAGACATCTGACAGCAGGTGTTGGAAGTGGCTGGATTGGAGACTGCAGTGGTTGGTTGTATCATCAGCCTACGAACATTGAACAAATGATGGAGCATTTTGTAGCCTTCATTGAAAAGATAAAACACCGAACAAGCCAAAATGGATGCCAGTATAAAGGAGGTCATAGCAAACATGAGGGACTGGTAAAAAGAGATGGAAGGCCTGCTGAGAAGGATTGGAGGCATACCCAGAAAGGATTGATGCCAAGCTGAAATTAATATTGGCCTGGTAGATGATGGCCATGGATTTGGAGGCAAATCCTGAAGAAAAAGTAGTCGAAGTGGAACAGCAGGAAATCCCTGACAAAGAAGCCACAATGGAGACTATTAGAGCATTGGAAGACTGATGTGAGGACTGGCATGTAGCAATAGGGTGCCGCTAACAGCTGAAGACACGGACCCAGGGCGACGTAAAAATGACATATTTAAAATTGAAACTTTCAGATTATTTTTCGAATTGAGAAGATATTTTGTTCATACTCAGAAATCTCCACTTTGTATTAGTGGGTTTCTGGACTTTGTCCATTGTCTGATATTCTGAACCGAACACACCACATCTGAAACTGGATCTGTTGCTGTTCCCAGGTGAAAAGTTGAGGAGTCACCTGCTTGGCCCATTATAAAGCACTAGCCTCAATCACATTTTGTTCTGTTCACAATATTAGAAAATATACAACACCCAGAAACCCAATAATATTCTGTGTTATATACTGTCATGAAAACCTTTTAGAATTGAACTAATCTGCATTTTCCACTGTGTGGTTATGTTTTGCGAATTTTATATGTTCAGTAGATGGTACAATCCAATCCACTTGCTACAGGACTTCTCATATGGTATGTTACTGTTCTTGTTGTGTATAATGAAAAGTGTCGTGTGGGATTTGTTTTTTCTTTGTGAGAATGCATTGTCATTGAATGATTCTGTAATGAAAGAGAGCATGAGTTCTTGTTAATGTTGCATCTACATGAGGATTAACATTGCAGGACATTTGGTAAAAGGGTTGAACATTTTTGTATTTAGTTTTAACAGTTTCAGGGATCAAAGAGTTTCCCTTGGTTAACAAGAACGGAGAATCTGATCAACAGAAATGATGCATCTAGGTAGAATATTAACGGTCAGATCTGTGTGACACAGACACCAAGAAAATAAGACAGTTTTGTTATGAATGTAAAGAAAGTAAAATTGTGTTTCTTTTGATTTCAGAGAACTTAAAGATCATTATGCTGGCACAGAACCACCTGTGGACCAGCAGCAGAATATTCCAGAGCTCTTGAAAGCCATTCTTCACAGAAATCCTAGTGTATTCAAGGGACCACATGGTAAGGATATTTTATAGTTCATCACTTTATTGGTGCATGAAATGTTCCCGCTTGTACTTTTTAATTGTGTTATCTTTGAGATAGTTTGTTGGGTGAGAATGTATAATGGAAACACTACTAGACTGAAGTTGATCTGGAAGTGAACTGAGAAGCACCTGAATATAAGTTCATATTTCATCACCAGAATACAAGGAAAAAATCGTGAAATACCTATACATCTTTCAGAGATGATAAGTTCAAGTTCTTGGTGATGTCAATAACAAATCACAATTGCATTAATGAAAAGAAAATTACATTAAATTCTCTTAATTTTTTCCTCACTTATTTCAGAATATTTTGTCCTCATCTTTGCTCTCTCAAAATATAAATATTAAATTATATGGAACTAAAATGTCACCTGAATAATTCTGTCTTCAGGAATATAATGCTATGTTGTCTGGTGAAAGTCAACTGACATCTTGGGGAACATATCATGTCCATCTTCATGGTCAGAGGGTAAGCCAAGCAAGAAATCACCATGAAACAGGCAGCAAACACAGCTCTTGCATGGCTTACTCTTCTACTGTGAAGTTGGAGGGGATTTGTTCTTACAAAATATCAGTTGACTTTCACTGGACTACACAGCATTGTAACCAAGAAGATAGAAATCTTCATAGCAGCTGCTGCTGCTGCTGCATGAACCACAAATCCAACATAAAATATCACCTGCTTGGTGTCTCACCCTGAAGAAAAAGCATAGATTGAAGGTGTTTGAGAACAGGATGCTGAGGAGATAATTGGGATCCAAGGCAAAGGGGGCAACCAGAGGCTGGAGAAAATTGCAAAATGTGCATAGTTTTTACTTGTCACCATATACCAGTACAGTTGTCATATCAATGAGGAAGAGATGAGTAGATCATTTAAAAGATGAGAAATATGTACAGAATTTTTAATTGGAAGGGAGGTAAACACTTGAGGGATATGCATAGATGGTAAGGTAATATGAAAATTAATTATGAACCTTCGGAGATTTATTAAAATTGATCTTTAAGGAGACAGAATGTGATGCTATGGACTGGATTTATCTCACACAGGATAGGTTTCAGTAGTGGGCTCATGTGAACATGTTGGCAAACTGTGGGTTTTGTGAAAGACAGAGATTTTATTTAGTAGCTAAATGAAGACTAGCTTGTCATACCAGTTCTGCTGCACAGATTTTTTTTTCTTTTAATTCGCTTAGTGGGGGGTGGAGTCCAACTGGGTCCACTCGGCACAGCAGCCACTGATTGGCCTATTGTAGCCTGACCCGGGTGATTATGATGAAGAATTTTGGTGGCTTGAAGATTGGCAGGGGAAACTGAAGTACTCAGAGAAAGCCTGCCCCAGTGCCTCTTTGTCCACCACAAATCCCACTTCACCAGACCCTGGATCAAACCCAGGCCGACATGGTGTGAAGCCAGCGACGAACCGCTTGTGCTATGACGCTGCCGCTGCACAGAGTTAGTTAATTGCCTGTTGTAAGAACTTAGAGGAACATAATGAACACTAACAGGACTGCTTAAAGAAAGACTGATGATTGATACCTTCATAAATATCAAAATGAGAAGTTCTAGGGGTTTGGTAAGATAGTCAGAAAAGCTAGAATTAGATGATCATTATGTATATGGTTATTTATTTCATATTTAGCCTGCTGGTATTTTTAAAGAGCATTGAAGGTTATCAAGAGCCTACTGTGAAATTCGAGTTTCTCACAGAGATGAAAATCAACTGTGATCTTCTGGGATGTGATACTATGTATCCTACCAATGGTCTGGAAGAACCTAAAACTCTGTCTTTGGCCTTTGACCTCAGTAGTGAACATCGGTAACTATTGATAAGCCTGCATGGTGTCATAATCCAGAAGAAAGTAATTGTAAGAGCCTACTGTATTTATTACTTTTAATCAACCAAGCGGGTTTTGCATTTTCATAATGTGTATGAGATGCATTGTTTGAATTGCCGTTGGAGCTGCCTAGTTTAATTGGGATTTTCATGGTTGTCACCTGCTTTTATTAACAAAAAACAAAGTATTTTTGAAAACCTCAATTTTTCACTTCCAAATATTCTTACATTAACTGTTTGACATCACCAAAAATTTATGGCTTAGTACAATATTTGGTTAGTTGCTGGCTTCCCACCATGGCGGTCTGGGTTCGATCCCATGTCTGGTCAAGTGGGATTTTTGGTGGACAAAATGGCGCTGGGGGTGGGTTTTCTCCGAGTACTTCGGTTTCCCCTGCCAATCTTCATTCCACCAAATTCTCCATCATCATAATCACCCGGGGCAGGTACAATAGGCCAATAAGTGGCTGCTGTACTAAGTGGACCCAGTTGGACTCCACCCCCCAACTAAGCAAATTTAGAAAAAAGAATTTTGGTACAATATTTTCAATATTCATGATATTGTTTACGCCCTAATTTGGACTCCCAACTGAAAAATGAAAATTCAACAGGTGGAACATAGGGAGTAAAGTCATTGAATTCGTATATGTGTATCATTTTTAAACTGTAAAATATTCCATCTATAATGCAACAATTCACCTTTCTTAAAAGAACACTAAAATCTGTATAATTCACCAAAAGTGTTTGTTAAATGTTTTAAAATGTCATCAACCGTATACAGGGTGATTCAGAAAGATGGACACAATTTCAATTGGCTGTATTTCCTGAATTATATGTTCCATTTGAATTCTGTAAATTACATTTGATTATACATACATGGAAGTTTATAGATGTTCAATATGCCCCCCTCTGGCTGCACGGTTAACATCTAGACAGTAGCTGAATTCATCCCACACTCGATGACAAATATCTTGCATCACTGAGTTCACCGCAGCTGTGATACGGTTTCTTAGGTCATTCAGAACATCTGACGCGGTGCTGGAGTGCTCTAGCGGTAATATTAGAAACTTTACAACATCCTCTTTCAAATGTACTTTACAGAATTCAAATGCAACATATAGTTCAGGAAATATAGCCAATTGAAATTGTGTCCATCTTTCTGAATCACTCTGTACATTTGTTGCTCCTGCTGCTACATGTTTTGACCACATATGGGCCATCATCAGGCAACATTCATTATTTGAGGAGACTACAGCACTGTACACTTTGTCCTCTGAGCCTGTAGGCACATTGTTGTTTCTGTTGTTTATTTTCTTCATAGGATATTTCCATCGTATCTTTTTGAACCCTATTTCAGTGTTTCTTTTTAATGTCCTTCACTTTTTGTTGTGTATGGTTTACTGCTGTCTTTCCTTGTGCACAGAAGAAAGGTGTACTATTACATTATGGATGGAATATTTTACAGTTTAAAAATGGTGCAGCAATGCAACAGGATGCTGAAATATAATAATGTGTATATTCTAGATTGTGTCACTTTTGGTGTTGACTCACATAGTTGTTTCACTTGACTTTCATTGTTCAGCCAATTCACCTCGGCAACCTCATTGGAATCAAGTGACAGGATTCAACTCAAATTATAACCAGGCTTCTCCTGCAAGCTACGGTCAGGCGTCACCTTCATATCCTAGCCCGTGTGGGTCACGAAACACACCACAGGGCAGCCCTGCACCACCTGCTGCAGCACGTCTCCCCCACCAACATTCTGCAGAATCTGTGTGTGGCACTGCAGCAAACCAACAGGTGAAGAGTCCAAGACTACATTGTGGTGCTTTGTCGAAAACATCACCAGTACTGCCTATGTCTGCCTCCACAGTTGCTCCCCTTCCTGTGCCTATATCAGTGACGGCACCAGTCCCAGTACAAGGGACACCTGGTCGAGTTGCAGTGGACTCTTTAGTGGTACAAAGAGTGTCAGTGATTACAGATCAGTCTAAGTTGGTGAATAAAACCGATAGCACACAAAGTCACAATGGTGGTGAAGTGAATGCTTTTTTTAATAGCAGACAACAAAGTGTAAATAATCAAGTAGGGAATAGTGATTGTATAAGTTCTAGGACAGCAAATGACTTTGTTGTGAACGAAGAAAATAACATGGATTATACACTGAGTGGCAATTTTGGTGCAGGATTACCAGAGCAGTTGTCAAGGCCTATGTCAGAGAGTACATCAGCATCCAGTATTCCAAGAACTCACACACCACACATGGCAGGTGAGTCCATTATTTTACTAATTAGTGTAGGTTCATGTGGTTATGATCTGAGTGATAGTGAAAAAGCCCTTTCATTTGTGGAATATGGGTTTATGAATGAGTGGAAGAATAGACAAATTCTGGTTTGTGTTGTAGTTTCATATATAAAATGTGGACATGGGAATAACCTTGACAGTGACAGCCTTACACAGTTGCACCACATTAAGTGAAAGTCTGTTTTCTTTATATGAGTACTTGTGTTGTGGATTTTTGACTCCAGTAATGTATGAGGGCTGTTCAGAAAGTAACCTCTGTTTATCTTCGGCAGCTAATGTAGGAGTGGTGGAGAGCTCTCACATGTAAGGTAGTGTCACATGACTCATTGCCTTGTAAACCGTCACATAACTGGTCACCTAGTGTTTGTTCTTGTCTCTGTAGAGTGAGTTATGATATGTCCTGCAATTGATAATCCCACCAGCTGCAAAATTCTTGCTGTTATCCAGTTTCTTCATGCCAAAAACTTGAGTGCTGCAGAAATCCATCGTTAATTACTTGCAGTTTATGGCCTAAATGTAATAAGTGAAGGTAGTGTCACATGACTCATTGCCTTGTAAGCCATCACATAACTGGTCACCTAGTGTTTGTTCTTGTCTCTGTAGAATGAGTTATGATATGTCTTGCAATTGATAATCCCACCACTGTAAGACAGTGGTGTAGAATATTCAAAGATGGACGGGTGGACAGACGTTCACGAAGAAGAGCGAAGTGGTCTGCCATCTGTAGTGAGTGAGTGATCTTGTTCACAGTATTGACTAAAATTTGTGAAAGATGGTTCTTCACAATTTCAGAACTTTCATGTGAATTTCCACAAATTTCACGCACTCTTCTGTACAAAATTTTCAGTTAGGCTAGGCTATCATCACAAGTTGTTTGCAAGATGAGTTCTGAAAATGCTCACAGGTGTCACAGAATGCAGAGAATGGGTTACTTCAGCTGTGATCTAATTAGAGTGATTCTGAAAAGATGGCGGTGAATTTCTCAGTTACATCACGCAAGTAATGGATGGTGAAATCGGATTCTCACTTGTGAAGGTTAAAACCAAACAGCAGTCAAAGCAGTGGATGCATACATATTCACTAGGCAAGCTTAAAAAATTTAAACAGACGTCTGCCAGATACCTAATGGCAGCTCTCTTCTGTGATAGGAAAGGAGCAGTGATGGTGGAATTAATGCAGCAAGGGACCACAGTAACATCAGAAGTGTATTGTGAAATGCTAGGAAAACTGCATATGGCCATTCAAAGCAAAAGGCACAGAATGCTGGCATCCAGTGTACTCTTAGTGCTCCTCTGTGTCAGTGCATATGCATACACCTGCTTGCACTTGAGCGCTGCTGGAGCATTTCAGCTGGGAGTTGTTTGACCACCTTCCTTATATCCATGATCTTGCTTTGAGTGACTGCCACCTGTTCACAAAAACTTGTTCCCCAGTATGACAAGTACCTCAATGTCAGCAGTGATGACTGCCTGATGACTGATGAAGTAGCATAACTATGTATGTATTTTTTGTATACAATAATTTTTTTCTCACTGCTTGTTTTGTTAACTCCTTACTGGAGGTTATTTTCCAGATAGCCCTTCTATATAATGTATGGCACATTTGTTATGTGAGATCAGTGTTGATGCTGCCTTCTGTAGTGTGGTATGGTATGGTGTGGTGTGTGTGTTTTCAGGGTTACAGTAGAGTGCATAAAGGTCTCACCACTGAATCTGATCTCAAACTTGTGCATCACCAGACTATCCATTTATAATGTACTTGACCATATATAGCTTGTTCTCACATATAAATCATGCCTCTGTTTTGTGGTATGAAATTTGTGTATCTGTACAAAATAATAACTGGATATCTTACTCGTGTGAGGTTTTCAGTTCACTGTACAGTGCCAGACACCACTTCTTGTCTACATAAAATAGGCAAGGTTAATACTTTGTGGGCAGCTCATATGGAGAGGTACAATTTCTGTTTCATGTACTTATGAAATGTCATGCAGTTTGACTCTTTCTTGCTATATCACCTAGTCACACATCGTTAGTAATTTTGCTTTCTGTTGGCTCAGGGTTTATACATTTTCTGACTGTCCCAGATATGGGAATGGAAACTTCCATTGTTAACACACTCCAGCCATCAAAAATTTTTGTCCATCATTTGTGAATGAACATTGTGCTGAGGGTTATGTGTCCTTGGCATGTTCACATTGGGGAGTGCATGGCTTCACAGTAGGTTGTTTTTAAGACCTAAAAGTGTCTTGATTTTTTTTTTTTGACTTAGTCATTTGGAGTAAAATTGTCAACTGACAGGAAGTGAACTTGCACTTAAGTACTTCCAAGGGAATGTGTTAACCTTCAGGGAGGGAGAACATTTAAATAGCTCCACTTTTCTAGAATGAGTTTAAAGGCCTGATTTGCACAATTATGTAAAAATAATGCCAATATCTTAGAGAAGTTGTTAGATTTTCCTCATAATTTATTAGATATTTAGGAAACTGCTTTTAGTAAATGTATATAAAATTAATTTAGCTTTTCCTAGAAGTGGAGATTTGAGGACATAAGGAACTGTGCACTGATCTAGTGATCTCCAGTGTAGTGTCATAGTTTTGAAAACAGTCAAAATATGTCCCAGTGTCACATTTTGCAGACTGATACTCTGCAGCCCTACTTTTCTGTCTCTTGTAAAAGTGGCACATCTTTGCAGACTAGATTTCTTCTCAGTTGTCAATTTCTTGTTGATGAAAACCTTTGAAAGAGGTGCAACACTGTGTTGTCTGGAAATTGTAGTATTCAGGAGATGAAGAAACTAATCTGCCATCAGCATTCTAAACATTAGCTGATCTGTTTGATTTGCCATATACGTATATATATATATATATATATGTGTGTGTGTGTGTGTGTGTGTGTGTGTGTGTGTGTGTAGTACAATGTAATTACAATGTTTGGCATTGCACCATCGATCAACCTTCAAAACCTCATCTTGTATGACTTACTCATTTGTTTCTGCTTAATGAGCAAAGTCACCAGCAGCAGATCTTTCAAATCAACCCTGCCCATTTGTTGTAATCCAAAATGCACATAAGTTTGATTTTCTCCAATGCATGCCCCATTTCTGTTTTATCTGTGTGGTATTTTGTTATGTGAATATTTTTCTCCATGCCAGTTTATCACCATTCATTTTCTTGAATGTTGTATTTAAGGTAATTTTTTTTAGCCTTTTATCTTTCTCAGTTTTGGAAATTTTTTTTTTTTCAATTGGTTTCACAATACTGACAGTCTTATGAACAGGTTTTAGTGTGGTTGCCAGTTGTGGAAGCATAGTCTATTCCTACTTTAGTAGGGGCTCCACTGACTTCTGAACAAGGGTGTTTGTTTTGCTTATATCGGCTGATGTGAGAGGGAACTCAGAGTTTCATCTTCTTGCCCATATAAACAAGGAAGAGTCATGAATTACCTCTCTTTATCCAAAATTTTGAAGGCAGCAGTAGAATGAATGCATACAAGGTAGGCCCTTGCACTGCAACCTTCAATAATCTATTGTCCATTCCCACCAGTTTCATCCCCTCAACTGTTCTATACTTGTAACGAAGTGTAATATCTTACAGGGGTGTTTTGGTATTCACCTGGGTCTGTAAAGTAATATCCCATGTGGCGAAATCTTAACTAAGCTGTAGCCTCACAGAATGTGTGTGACTGATTCATCCTTTTCTAGGCACCTTTTGCACATAGGGACATCTCTTAATCCTGTTTTGAAGAGGTGTCCTTTCAGATGACAGTGTCCTGTGCGTAGTCTTGTTACCTGTCACAGCCCTTGTCTATTTGAGTCTTATTAGGGATCCCCAGTATTTTTTATGGTCTCTGTTTGTCCAGTCCCTGACAGCCAATTTGATGATTCCTTGTGAAATGCTGCAAGCTGGTTCAGATGCTGTGAGCTTCCAATTTTGTCAGTCGATCAGTTGTTTCATTACCCTTGTGCCTCAGAACTGATATTAGTTGAAGGTACTGTTTGAATGATAGGCAGCCCTTCCATAAGTTTATTTACAGATGTGTATTGGTTTGGCAGAAATAGTTCCTGAAATATATTATGTATGCATGAAGCAACAAGGAAAATCTTGAAAAATTTTGTGATCCATGGCATGAATCTTTCTCTTAATTTTATCAATGAAGTAAATGGTTTCAGACATCACCAAAGCCTGCTGTGTGTGTAGACCATATTTTTGGGGACATATTATCAGAGTGTAGGTTTTTGAATTACAAACCGATCACAATATATGGAATCTGACACTCTTTATGTTACAGTCACCAGGACAAGTGTCATGAAAATCTGTTTGAAATTGTTCGATAGTCCCATTGTACCTTTCCCTGAATTCTGAAATTCAGAATTACTTGTAAAGTCTTTCATCTTACCATTATAACTTATTGAGATTATGGCCTCCTGAGGTTTGATGCCACATAATGTAATTGAATTCTGACATTTTGGATGAACATGTTGCTTCCATCTTGAGAGTGGAATTTCAGTGCAGCACTTAAGAAGGAGGCAGCTTGTTCCTCTAAAAACTGATATGTGCCTAGAAGACTACTTGGTGTCAACATAGAAAACCATAGCCTGAACATTCATCATGATGGAAATGTAAGAACTAAAAGCATAATTTATCATATCCCTGTAATCAGAATCTAGAATCTTCCTGATTACTATGATCATCAGTTATTCCATCAACTTCAGCTAGATCAGAATTTTTAGCATGCAATCCTTCTGTTGTATCTTCCTCAGACATCATGGCCAGCCCTTTCATTCTAGTAATGTGCAGTGACTCCCCTCTTGTAACTTACAAAAAAGAGTGCAAACAGGATGGTAGTGAGAGACTGGAGTAGCCATGTGTAGGCCACATAGTAAGAATCTGTAAACAGAAACAAGGGAGCTGGCATGGTGAAACATCAGCTCTCTTCTTAGACTGGATGACCATGTTAGGGAGTT